CCACCCACCCATACATATCCCCCCAGCCATATCCCACCCACCACCCATCCGTACGTACCATGTCTTGCTTTCTTTGTGGATGTGCTGCTTGAGTATCTCGTACTTGGCGCCCTGGTTCTTGGCCTTCTCGACGTCCTGCTTTGCCTTTGTGGTCAGGTCGACGCTGTCTGCCAGCTGCTCGAGTACGTCGGTGAAGGCTCCGTGGGGCATGGCGTTGATGAGGCGGGGCTTGCTGCCCGTCACGCCCTCCACCGCACGAGTCACACAGAGGGTCTTGCCGCTGCCGGGCGGCCCCTCCACATACAGACAGCCGCCATCCTGATCATACGCCCTGATCAACAAACAGATGGATGGATGCATCGTGCATTGATGGGGAATGGGGTGCAGAAGGAAGGGCAATCTTGAAGGGCTGTGAGTGCTGCCCTCTGTGTGCTCCCTACTTACTTTTTGAGAAATTCCTTCAGCTTGGCCATTTCTGGCTCTCGCGCCACTACTGGGGGTCCTCCTGGCTCGTCGCCCTCCAGGGTCAGCGCGCCGCATGCCTTCTGGAGGGCTACAACCTCGGCCTCAACCTCACGCGCACGAGCAGCCATATCTCCCTCTGCATCCCCCCTTCCGACTGCGAGCTCAAAGCCAGCTGGCAATGGAAGGAGAGATTGAAAGGGGCAATGTAGCATGGCGACGACAGAGGCGTGCAGAGTCCGTTGACGCCACAAAAGAGCACTCAGATCCATAGCTTTCGCTGCTTGGGTGCACGATGGCTGCCATTGCCGCCGCCCAGGTGAGAGAAGAGGGAGCTGCAGGCCAAACAAATCACCTACATCATTGACGTGAACCAGTTGTGCTGTCTGTGTGGTTTGTTGTCCGGTTTGGTGCAGATGATACGAGCGCAGCTGCTGCCGCAGGTTCAAGGCTATCGGCTGAAGCAGGCTCAGGTATCAGCTGACCAACACACATACCAACTCGTCCATTCCATGCAGTGCATCCAAAGCTCATCGGCTGCTTGCTTGTGTGTGTGTGTGTGTGTGTGCAGGTCAACAGCTGCATTGATCAACTCCTGCAGATGGACACCGCAGCTTCGATGACACCACTGGTGCGGCAGGCTGCGAAGCAGCACACTGACAACCACACCACACCACAAAGACCTCTGTGTCATGGTGCTCTCGTCGTGTTGATTCATTCGTCAGATGGTGGACAAGGTGAGTCGTCAGTTTGCTGCTGTGTCCGAGCTGCTGGCCGAGTTGGCAGAGACTATTAACTCGACCATCGCACTCACAAGACATCGCCGCACACAGGTCAGCAAGGGAGTGACCACAGGCAGGCACAAACACAAGACCCACACTGATGTGGTGTGTTGTGCACCTCTTATGTGCTGTGTGTGTCCTTCTTTGTGTGTGTCATCAGGCGCGACGGTTGCACCTGACTGACATCCCTGCCGGACCCATGAGCAACATCACCGCACTGTCTGACCTCATCACGGTCGCCCACCTCAAGGCGACAGCCCGCCCCATCAGAAACGCTCTGCGGCCCATCATCCGCCGTATTCGGCTGCCGAAGGCCATCGAGGTGGCGAGGGTGGGTGGTCTGGTGCAGTTCGACAATCAGCTGAGCCACGGCGATGTGATGAAGGCCATGTGGGTGGTGGAGGAGGGGGGCGAGGGCGGCTGGGGGGAGGTGGCGGAGACACTCAGATTCGGTGAGCATTTCGGCTATTGCCAGCTGCCGATCACTGTGGGGGCTGGAGACCTGCAGACACACCCCACCAAGGCGGTAAGCACGACACACAGAAGAGGCAATGGGTGAGCTGCTGGATGTGTGTGTGTTGGCTGCAGGATTTCTTGGCGCTGCCCCGTTTCTGTGCGCAGTGGATGCTCGTCGGCCGCAATGTGGCCTTCCGCCGTCCCAATGGCCAGCAAGACGGCGCACTCAGCTGTTCCGCCACAACAACAACGAGATTCGCGTCATCCGCAACGAGCCCAACTTCGCCATCACCCTCAGCCTGCCCCTCCCCCGCCCCAACCGCCCCGTCCATCCCTTCTCGCAGCACCCCTTCACCCACCACGCCAAGCCACACGACCCGCCAGTCTGCTGTCGCATGAAGTGGGACAATGGTGTGGGGTGGGTGACGATTGGTGTCAACGACGGCGCCGTTGACGCATCGGCGAGTTGCATGTTGAAGCGTCGGATGCTGGCTCATCGGATGTTGGCTGTGGGCGGCTTCACCGATCACCAGCAGTGGTGGTGGACAGGTGAGCCGATGGAAGACACGCAATGAGAGGGCGAATGGCCATGTGGTCCGGTATTGATGTGTGTCAGGAGTGTACGTCGCGGCCACCTCGACCGCATCATCACCCAATCACCGCACACGCCCCTCGACGAGTGCTCGGATGTGCTGGCATGGGAGTGGGCCAGTAAGCGGTGTGTACAGACGCATGTGCTGACAACGTCTGGCGATCCGTTCATCGCATGCATTTTCTTCGTCATCCCCCCATGCAACTACCAGGACGGTACGCGTACACACTGACAACACATCCTCATGCTGTCGTGTCGTTGATCATCCGCTCTGCTGTTGTGTGCATGTAGTGCGCGTCTACATCAGTACCACAGAGGCGCCAGCAGCGGGTGTCCCTCATGACGCGCCCTTCGCCCAGGGATTCCCCCGAACGGCCGCCAAGGTGCGTCGCGTCCTCGGCCCTATCACCGCCATCGTGCTCGACGGCCAGGCGCCTTAGACCATGAAGGTGAGAGCCACACACATCATGATGGCATGACGATGCGCGTGTATAGTTATGTGTCTTTATATGTGTAGATGGATCGTGTGCAGGCGCGCTGGCAGGCTCCACGTGTTAGAAGGAAGGGCCGTACGAGGTGGCTGTAGCGCGTGCAAATGAGTGCGCATGGTGGACGAAACTTCGAGACTTCTTATTTGACATGCAAGATGTGTCCGTCGCCCGCTCTATGTTTTACAGTTCGCCACACCCCCCCCACACACACATATGCATGCGCACACAGGCGTCTACCACCCACTCTAGTCAGTCCACGTCTTCCATCTCCCCCGTCCCCGCCCCCCCGTCGCCCTCGGCATCTCCACCATTCCCCACCGGCTGAGGAGGGGGTGGCATGAAGGGCTGGGCGATCGCCTGGTGCACCAGCCGACGCATCACCTCCATGCGATGCAGGTCGTCGCGCAGATGCCTATGGTTGATGGATGAGAGCAGACAGGCAGGTGGATCAACATGCATGTGGGTGTGGGTGGTCACTGACCTGCCGGTTTGGTCATCGGGGTGGACTTCAACTTGCTCATCCAACACTCTGACACGACAGGCAGAAAGGTCACAGATACCTCAATCCATCCACCCGTTGGGTGGTCGTCCATCTCTTCTCTACCGAATGGCTTCACTCAGCTGGCCCCGGCGCGCCAAAAGTACAGCCTGACACACAACAGGCAGGAAAACATGAGATATTCGTTGATCGTCTCCTGGCTGTGAGTGCATTGAACCTTGGTGTGTCGGGCGTAGAAAAGTCGCGGGTTGAGTGCCAGCGCTCGGTTTAACACCTCCAGAGCACGCGACGAATCACGCGAAACCAACCTGTGGACAAAAAGAGGGCAGAATGGACATACATATGTGATTACTCGATACTACTGTCCATCTGTCTGTCCATCTGTGTCTGTCTGTTTGCTCACTCACTTGGAGGCCAGGTTGCTCAGCGCATACGAGTTGCTCGGGTTGAGTCGTGTGGCCCTCTCGAGACGGCTGATGGCCTCAGCTTCCGGGATGCCCTCCTCGAGCGAACGCCCATTCCAGCCATAGGAGCTGTCCTCATTCACCTCTATGGCACGCCTGCGGGGGCACACCAGGCAGGCGGATCCGTGTGTGTGGGCTGCCGCCTGGATGCTGTTGGTTTCTTCTTCATGTGTGGCTCACCTGTAGAGTTCCTGTGCAACGTCTTTCTCGTCGTTAGCATAGTGCGCATCTGAAGCAAGCCATGAAAGCCACGAGTGCGTGCCATCAGTCAGTCCATCAAGCCCATCGCAATCGTCTTCCATCCATCTGTCAATCTGTCACGCACTCTTACCCGCTTTGCGGGTCAGCACCGTTTCGTTGGTCGGGGCAATCTGGACGACATTCACACAGCAGCAGAGCATCCATCCTGCCCTCCACAAGCCGGACGTTGGCTCTCTCCTTGTGCACCTGGTGAGCCACAGCGTAGTGCCGGATAGCCAGGGCAAAATCTCGGCGCTCATACGCCGCCAAACCGAGCCTGACACACACGGCACACACAAGGGATGAGAGCCAAGCCTGCCCTCTTTCATTCAATGTGAGGGCGGTGCTGTACCTGAGTTTGTGTTTGACGTGTGCGAACCGCCATGGGTTCTTGCTCAGCGCTTCGCTGCCCCGCAGCGAGAAGTCAGGGAAGGCAAACTGAGTCAGACGCAGACGAGGGGCCCACACTATCTCAAGACGAGCCTGCCCGCACAAACAGAGCGAATGATTGATGAAGAGATGGAGTGCTATCGCTTTCTTTGTGGGCTCTCACCACTCTGTCTGTGGCTGAGCAGCATCTGGCGAACACCGCCAACTCCCCGAGAGTGAAGAAGCCGCATATCGATGGCAGGACGTCCGTCAAGTCGTGAAAGTCGCGCACGCTGCTGCCAGCTGAAGACGGCTCCGAGGCAGCCATTGACGCCTCGCTAGCAGCCATCGAAACACCCAGGGTTTTGGGTTTAGGGTCAAAAGCTTGCGCCGCTTTCTCGATCCGTTCCTCCAAAAGATCCCTTGCATCCCTTGCACTGCCTCAGGCGCCCTTGGTAGGTGTGCTGATCACGATGGACGGCGACGTGCAGCCTGGACACCTAGGGGACGACTTCCTCACCGCCGCCACAAGATGGGCAGCACAGGCGCCACAGCTGACGGCACGCTACATCGACAGCATCCACAGCATACTCACAGAGTACAAACGGCAAGTGACACAGATGGGCGGCGTCGCCGACTTGGGGACATCTGCTGCTGGCACTGGCAGCGGTGAGGAGGTGCTGGAGCTGAATGTGAGTGGCGCGGTCGTGCCCGCCGCTCGCTCCACACTGTGTGCGGCCAAGGGCAGCCTGCTCGCCACCCTCTTCAGCGGCCGATTCGATCGTGCACTTGTGCGTGACGGCAGCGGGCGCGTTTTGCTGGCGGTCTACCCGGCGGCCTTCACAGAGTGAGGGAGGGATGAGGGATGGGATTGACGGCTGTGTGTTGCCTGCCTGTCTCTGTGTGTGTGTGTGTGTGTCAGGTTGTGTAACCAGCTCCAGGCGCATCGGTGGGATCCCAACTTCCACGTGCGCCTGCCTGAGGGGAAGCAAGATGATATGGCATACAAGTAAGAGGCCGGCCCTCGACCACTGGAAGGCACTGAATACAACATCATGTCCCTGATTCACTGTATGGATCAGGTATTGGTTCGACACGCTGCTGCATAACCCGCCCACTGCACGGCGGAACCAGTCGGCCAGGTGGGGACACACAAACACACACACACACACACACACACATTGGTGAGGCAATTTTTCGTTTGCAAATGGCTCTGTGCTTGTGTGCTGACAGAGCGGCCAGCACCGGCTCTGCGGGGGTGAGTGAGGCCAACGACATGCTGGCAATGGCTGAGAAGATTCAGGAGGGCATGGCGGACGAGTTGGCTCGCCTCGAAGGCATCAAACCAATGCTCAAAAGCGGCAATCCACTTGCTGACCAGGTAGGGTAGGTACCCACAAATACATGTGAGGAGAAGAAGCCGAGCGAAGCGCTTGTCGGCTGTGTGACGTCTTCTCCTGTCAGCTCATGTCGGTGGATGTGTTGGGGTCGACCGTGACCGTCACGAAGGCGGCGGCATGGTCGCTCCCTGGCGGCGCACTCAGCATTTTCTACTCGCGATTCGAACAGTGAGCTCGACTGCATTCGTGCGGCTGCTTATATAGTGCACACTTGTTCGTATCCATGTGTGTGTGTGTGTTGTGTTGTGTCGGTGTATGTAGCAACGATGTCAGTGGGTGTCCCATCGGGGCAGCGCGTCCCATCGATGCCATTCGCCGCGCGGCAGACCTGGTGGTCCGCGCCTTCCAGCAGCGCCGGCCCATCACGGACACTCATGTGCTTCAGTCAAAGGGCGACGTCAGCCACTGGGTGTTCCAATGGGCGCTGGACGTGTTTGGCCTCGATGGGACCCGACTCATGCGCCGGGAGGGCGGGATGCTGACGAACGAGCACCTGCGTGGCATCAACGAGGTGCGGCACACATGGTCGGCTCCGCCCCCCGGCTTGCCGCCATCTGTCGACACCGAATGCATCTATTGCATCTAGAGGTGAGTGAGCAGCGAGAAATACTCTCGACTCGACAAAGCCTTCGCGCCAGGTATATAACGCAATGATGGCATGCCATACTGTCCCACGCAGGGCGTCCCTTGACGGCTGGCGGTGGGTGGACTTCCTGACGTGCGTCAGAGATGCTGCACCCCTGGTCATCATGATGAAGGCCAAAGACAGGTAAGGCCATGAAGGAGGGCAGGAGAGAGGGAGGGAGGGAGGAGGTCGCTGATTGAGTTCTTGGTGGGATTGTCGGTGTCTTTGTGTGGCTGGGGCTGGTCGTGTCAGCGGCCACCTGTTCGTGACCATCATCACCGCACCCGTCGAAGTGACTGGGCCGCACACGAGCATTCATAGCACATCGTCCTTCAGCTTCCACAGCCCCCCTCAGCCGCCCTCCACCGGCCCCCCGATACAGCCCCTCGCCCGCAGCAGCACCCTCATGCTGGCGGGCTCGGCTGAGATGGAGAGGTGGACCGATCTCACCCAGCCCCCCTCCCCGCTCCCCTGCCTCATCGCCGCAGCCAACATCCAGATCGGCATCGCCGCGCCGGGTCAGTCGGCGAGCGATGCCACCCTGACCAACTGCCAGGCCTTCGCGGACAGCAGCGGCCCGTCGGCTCACGACTGGACGTATTGGGGCCGTGCCGGCGTGGAGGTTCCGGGGGACGGCGTTTTCCGCCCGGTGCCGGTGTCCGCCCCGGTGGGCTTCCAGTTCTCTTTGGATGAGCTGGAGGTCTACTCGGGGAGCGCGGGCATCTGGGACATGGAGCACTGCATGGAGGCGGACAGAGCGTCGAGGCAGGCAGGGCAGGCAGCCGGTGGTGATGCCGCGAGTAATGGTGGCGGCATGATGCCGGAGGGGCAGGGTGGTGGTGACCTATCTGGAGGGTCGCATGCTCCTCGAGATGAGAGGCCGTCCAACGCGCCTGCACACTATACACACGAGGAGTGTGACCTCATGTAAGGGGAAAGACGGAGCCAGCCAGCCAGCCAGACCGCAAGACACGCCTTCCCTTCATCAATCGCTTTCTCCTCTCTGTCTGTTTGTCTGTCTATCTGTGTGTGTTGATTAGGAAGAAGCTCAAGGTCCATGCTCAGTTGGACCGCATTGAGCCTCCGATGAGGGAGCAGGAGCATCAGAGGGTGGACCTTCCGCGCAGCTACATCCGACGGATGGAAGATTGAAGACATGTAGACAGACAGACAGACAGACAGACAGGTGGATGGATGCAATAGGGTATGGGGAGGTACCTAGTTTTTTGCTCGTGCATATAGATGACTGAACAGGTAGAGGCAGCAATTTGTGCCTCGCGTAGTTTTGTTGTTTTACGGCCGGTGGGCGGGTGGGTGGGTGAGAATGCTTTTTTCCGGCGGCCTTTATATGAGCAGGTCATTCAGTGTCTCTGTGTGTGTGTCTCAACACATTTTGTATAGACTCTGTCAGCGGTCATGCAACTTAACTGCAATTTTCTGTGTGCACACGCGTCCGAATAGCTATTGGCGCCTGGCCGTCGTCAATATCTATGGCGCCTGGCCGTCGAGCACGATGGCGGTGATGGGCCCGAGCACGCGACGCACCTTGGCGGCCGTCCGGGGGAATCGCTGGGCGAAGGGTGCGTCATGACGGACACCTGCTGCTGCAGCCTCGGTGGTAGTGATGTAGACGCGCACTGCATGATGACGCGGAGAGCGGATGATCAAACGATACGACAGCACGAGGATGTGTTGTCAGTGTGTGTGTGTGCGTACCGCTCTGGTTGTCGCCTGGGAAGATGACGAAGAAAATCCACGCGATAAATGGGTCGTCCGATGATGTCAGCACATGCGTCTGTACACAGGTCCCACCGGCCCACTCGCACGCAATCACGTCCGAGCATTCGGTGAGGAGCATGTGCGGCGATTGAATGATGATGCGGTCGAGTTGGCCGCCGCGCCCACCCCTGACACACACATCACATGGCCATTAACCCTCTCATTGTATGCCGTCCATCCACTCACCGGTCCACCGCCACCGGTGGCGACTGGGTAAAGCCGCCCACAGCCAACAGCCGGTGACGCAGCACCAGACGCTTCCACACGGAGCTCGCCGACGCGTCAACGCCCCCGTCGTTGACGCCAAGCGTCACCCAGCCCACACCAGTCTGCCACCGGATGCGGCAGCGGACTGGCGGGTCGTGCGGCTTGGCGTGGTGGGTGAAGGGGTGCTGCGAGAAGGGATGGACGGGGCTGTTGGGCTTGGGGAGGGGCGGGTTGATGACGATGGCGAAGTTGGGCTCGTTGCGGATGACCCTGATCTCGTTGTTGTGAAGGGACAGCTGAAGCGTGCCGTCTTGCTGGCCGGTGGGGCGGCGGAGGGCCACACGGCGGCCGACGAGCATCCACTGGGCACAGAAACGGGGCAGCGCCAAGAAGTCCTGAATGAAGACCACACACACACATCCAGCAGCTCACCCATTGCCTCTTCTGTGTGTCGTGTTTACCGTCTTGGTGGGGTGTGTCTGCAGGTCTCCGGCACCCACAGTGACCGGCAGCTGGCAATAGCCGAAATGCTCACCGAATCTGAGTGTGTCACTCACCTCCCCCCAGCCGCCCTCGCCCCCCTCCTCCACCACCCACATGGCCTTCATCACATCGCCGTGGCTCAGCTGATTGTCGAACTGCACCACACCGCCCACCCCCGCCACCTCGATGGCCTTCGGCAGCCAAATATTTCGGATGATGGGCCGCAGGGCGTTTCTGAAGTGGCGGGCTGTCGCCTTGAGGTGGGCAATGGTGGTGAGGGCAGACAGTGACAGGATGACGCTCATGGGGTTGGCGGGAATGTCAGAGATGTGCAACCGTTGGGCCTGATGACACACAGCAAACACACCAAACAGCACATAAGAGGTGCACAACACACCACATCAGTGTGGGTCTTGTGTTTGTGCCTGCCTGTGGTCACTCCCCCGCTCACATGAGTGCGGCTGTGTCTTGTGAGTGCGATGGTCGAGTTGATGGTCTCTGCCAACTCGGCCAGCAGCTCGGACACAGCAGCAAATTGACGACTCACCTTGGCCACCATCTGACGAATGAATCAACACGACCAGAGCGACGCCAAGCAAAGGAGACTCCACAGACACACAGAGGGCTTTGTGCTGTTGTGTGGTGTGTTTGGCAGCCTGCCGCACCAGTGGTGCCATCGAAGCTGCGGTGTCCATCTGCAGAAGTTGGTCGATGCAGCTGTTGACCTGCACACACACCCACACACCCACACACCCACACACAGAAGCAAGCAGCCGATGAGCTTTGGATGCACTGCATGGAATGGACGAGTCGGTATGTGTGTTGTCAGCTGATACCTGAGCCTGCTTCAGCCGATAGGCTTGTACCTGCGGCAGCAGCTGCCACCCTATCGCTGCGCTCATCTGTACCAAACCGAATGACAAACCACACAGACAACACAAAAGATTCACGTCAATGATGTAGGGATTTGCCTGGCCTGCAGCTCCCTCTTCTCACCTGGGCTGCGGCACTGGCAGCCATCGTGCGACCAAGCAGCGAAAGCTATGAATCGGAGTGCTGTTTTCTGGTTTCAACGGGCTCTGCACGCCTGTGTCATCGCCATGCTACATTGCCCCTTTCAATCTCTCCGTTGATTGCGAGCGAGTGAATCAAACTGATCCTTGGATGCTTCGTCGTCATCACTGCCGGGAAAAGGGTTGCAGTACCTACCCCAAGCTCGCACGAGGGAATCGGGGGAGGGAGTCGACCGAAGCGCCCACGTTGCATCAATTGTCATTCATTCACCCACAACATTATGGGGGTCATCGCATAGTCATCGCATGCATGTTTGCCGTGCTGTCTGTGCGCTGTGTTGTCCTGCGGTCGTGGTGTGGTGTGCAGACCCTCTCCATCCATCCATCCATCCATTCATCCAAGTTGACGACGCTGCTATTCTACACCCTCCCTCCAAACCACTTGCTTCATTCGGCAGGCCACTCAGATTACTCTGTCAACCAATCCTCTCCTCCCTCCGATGTGTATCTTATATATGTACACCGCCACGTACACGCCTCGCCGCCCACTGCACTGACCGACAAGTGAGTGCTCTCATTCATGAGTCCCCCTTGGGCTGGCCGCTCTTGGGGTCAGCTGGGGCGGATAATGCCACTGACTGCGGGGATGGGGCCACCTGCACACACACGCGCACAGACCGTCGCACATCCATGGATTGGGTGTCGCCCGCCTCCATCCATCCATCCATGTGTGTGAGCGTACCGGCTGCTGTGCGTTGACGGAGAGGGCACATATTGACGACTTGAACCGACTCTTGTTAGAGTCATCGTCACCGAATCGGGTGCTGAGCACAAAAGAGACACACACACAGAGCGGGAGATGCATGTACTCGTCCGTGTGGTGTGGTGTGTAGGGTTTGACGAGGGGGCACCTCACCTGTATGCGACGTATATAATGTTGTTGGACTTCTCGTCGATCAGCCGCCTCACCTTGATGCTCTTGAATAGCACAAACTGAACACACACACACACACACCCCTTCACCCAGCTGTGTGATCTCTGTGTTTCTGCCTTTGGACCTTCTCGGCTCAGAGATGACTTCCTCACCCTCCTGACGTGACGAAGGACCAAAGAACACCAAAGACACGTGACATGGATTAATGTAGCTCTACAAACAGATTCATGAGGTCCGCTGCCGACCTTTGACCGACTGGCTTACGGCGATATCCTGACAGACATTCAGAAAGCGATTCGATGGCCGGCCGATGGGTAACACAAGACAGACAGAGTGTGCCGATGTGCTTCCATGAACGTCGCCCCTTTCTTTCCATCCTCACTTGACGGGGCCTGATTGTGCACATGTCAGAGACACCGATGTCGGGTCAGAGAAGAAGTCCTTCTGAATCCTGCACACACACACTCACACACACACACGGACCGTTTTGTCACTTGTAGTGGCATGAGCTCGGCATCCAGACCTCTCTGTGATGGGCCTTGCAAAGTCGGCAATGTAAATCGTGACGCCCTCGACCTTTGGATCGCTCCACGCCTCCACGTTCAGGGTGTCCTTGAAGATCAGTCCACTGCCGGCGATCTCGCCCACCAGCCGCTTCTGCACACCACAATACACGCAACACACACAATAACACACATCAGACGGGCGAACGAACAGGTGTCCGTCCGTGTGCATTGATTGCCTCACCTCAGCTGCTTGTGCGGTGCCGATCTGCTTGTGCGTGTTACGACGCCGACGGCACCAAACGCACAGATCAGCAACAGAGAGGCTCACAGGAAGGCCACAGGCGCAGCCAGCCAGGAGCAGCCAGAAGATCAAATAAGCTGACATCTCTCTCTGTGTCTGTGCCTGTCTGTGTGTGCAGGTCGAGATGGCCGTGTTGCGTTGCGCCAAGACCCGGAGGCTCATTCGGGTGTGAAAGGATTTCCCTCGACAATTGCCATGCCTCGGGTGAATCGCTGAGGACTTTGCTATGCGCCGATTGGCCTTCGGAAAGGGAACTCTCCTTGCACAAGTCTAAGCTCGCATTTTGCCGATCGCTACGGCGGAGGCTTTCTCCCATTGCAGGGGGGCCGGGCTGCGGCTGACGTGCCCAGCTAAACCCTAAATATGCGTAGGGTTTGCGAAATTGGTGAATGCGCCTGTGCAGCAGTGCCTGGCAGACAGACAGACACACTTACACACAGGCTCAAGTCAACAGGGGTCCACGCGCAGAGAAGGAGGGGAGGGGGGGGGGGGAAG